GAGAAAGAAGTATGTGCCCAGTTACTATTGCACTAAGTTAAATAGAAAGCTCAGAATGTTCACTCAAGATTCCATAACTGTGGAGGAATATGTACACAAGCTAGATTTATTGAAGATGCATGTTGGCATCCAAGAGAATGAGAGAGATGCCATGAATAGGCTCGTTATTGCGCTTAGACTTGAGTTACATGATAAGCTTGATTTGTATACTATAACATCCTAAGAAGATAGACTTAAGTGATAACCATAATTCTGAGGGTTAAGGGGTTAGTTTGGGGTTTGAGTGTCCTTTAAGATAGGGTACTAACCTCAGGTTTGGAGCTACATGAGAGGGAAAGCCTCGAGCAGGGGAGCTTCATTATGTTACTCACCTAGGCAAGTGGGGTACTTGTGAGGGAAATTGGGGTAGCTTGCCCAATGCATTTTGAGAAAAATTATAAATCATGATTTAGCCAAAAGTAAAAGTTAAAACTCATTTTAAACTTTCTAAAAGTGCAGTTCTCTATAGAGCTCTACTAAAGTTTGTCGCCTATGACCTAAGGAGCCTTAAAAGAGCTAGATCCCTTTGAGGTAAGTCCCCTGGGATCCAAACTCTTTTACCTCTCTATTCTCTAGATTTGATGACTAAGATCTTGGCTTAGACTTGTATCTCATATTAGAATTCTTAAGGTTTATTCATCTGAGTCTTAAATAGAGTACTAACTAGTTTAATTATTCATATAAAACTAATCTATAGATTGATATAACCTTAGAATTTTCTAGGTATGTGTACAATAGAACTCAAGGATTGAGAGGTTGAACCTTTGATCTTTCAAAGGTTTAAGGTAACTGAAAGCTTATTATGTTATATATTATAGTCTATGACATTTCCTAGTAAATTAATTATGTTGTTTTACTTATCAAAATGATATTTACATGTGAGTTATGAAATATGATCTAAGTTATGATATACTATTCTGTATGATTCTAGGAGTATGATCTGAATGTTTGAAGTATGTTTATGTGTTACCAGGAATTGTCTTATTATATGTTTTGTGTCAAGGAAAACCTATAATTGAGTAATGTTAGAAATTATGTATACATGAACCTTGGAATATGATTCTGCTTTAAGAATACTATTCATGTGCATATATATACTTGATTATCTAAATGCAAGCATAAAGGTGGGAGTTCACCTGCAAAAGAGAAGTTATTATCATGAAAACCTATGGTAAGCCCTATTGAGGTTGTGCTCCAGTAGTGATGAAAATGTTAAATGTGTGCTTATTTCACTACTCAGATTAGTAATATTGGTCAAGCACTTGTCCAGTTTCACTACTTGGATTGGCAATGTTGGTCGGGCACATCATGGCAACTTAAAATTTGAGTAAGGGGAACCTATAGTCTAGTCTTGAGTGTAGAAGCCTTGGCTGGGTAACCCCTCCTATTTTGGGGAGCGGATCTGGCTTAGTTGTATGGACTAGAGCTATAGTTAATTGGCCATAGGTTCAGTAAGAGGAAATAAGGAGGTTATAAGGGAGGATTTAGCATGCATCACTATAAAAATAATTATCTATAAGTTATTATGGAAATAAGAGTTTGATAGGTATACTCAAATAAATTACTTGTGTATGGTTTTAAGCTAAAATATGTGTTATGTAAATTGCTTACTACCACTATTTTATATGCCATATTAAATATCTTAGTCATTGAGATTTTGTATGAAATCTCATCTTATTACATTTACTTGTTTTCAAGAGAAGAAAAGGGCAAGGAGAAGGTTGAAACCTTTGAAACCAAACATTAGAGATCTTTAGACTCTCGTGATTATTGTAATGTATTATTATTTTGAGATTTTGCCAACTATAGGGAATTTTAGTTGTATGTTTAATCCACATTAAACTTGGCATTTTGGTATTTGAATTACTTAGGCCTATACTGGTTTTAGAGGCCTTAGTTTATATTTGTTTATGTAAGAGATTTTAGTTGGGTTTTAGCTACATTTTACCTATTAAACTCTGATTTAAATTGAAAGCATGCTTAGGGAAAGATTCTTGAATATTATGGTTGTGTAAATGATCTTGATGAGTATACGTATGAATTTATTGTCTTGATATACTATGAATGAATGAATCTAGACGGGTGATACGTGCTGGCTGCTGAGGTAGTGAGTACAGGCCTAGGATAAAAAGTAAATTCTCATTGAGATGAGTGATATGCAAGCTGAGACGAGTAGGGTTTGGCTTGCTAAGGCGAGGTGCTGCATTAGTTGGGATGAGTGATGCCTCAGTGTGCAGGCTAAGGCAAGTCATGCCACTAGCCAGGGCAAGTGTGCCCTATGGCTAAAACAGGAAAGTATCTTCTATAAGCCGTGATTATATGATTATTTTGATTTGATGGTGAACATATATGGAATTTATTTGTCTTATTAAAGGATAGTAAGTCTTAAAGGCCAGCCTAATTTATTAAATTTATTAAAATAACTATGTGGTGTGTTGGGAGTAGTGACTTGAGTTATTACATATACCTTTGTGGATAAAGAAAAATTGGTGTATAAGGCCATCAAACTGGAGTTGAGGTATAAAAATAAGCATGCCAAAGATGGATGGAAGGACTCCAAATCTACCTTTAAGTGGAAGGATTCTAAAGCTAAGAAGGAAAAATTCATGCCTAAAGCCAACGAGAAATCCAAGCCAAAATTTGATGGTAAAAAGTTTGAAGTCAAATCTTCTTCTATTCAATGTTTTAAGTGTAAAGGAGTAGAGCATATGACAAAAGATTGTGGACATGAAAAGCCATAATCATTAAAGATGATGGAAGCTATGAAAGCATCCATGAGAGTGATAATGAAGCTGATGATGATGATTGTACATTCATGCCTTCCCTTGTGACTAATTGTAAGTTTGAGGAGGCTAGAGCTATTAGTGGTTCGAGTTTGGTGGTGAGAAGAGCCCGCAACATTCAACCTAAAGAGGATGATGATAAAAAGTAACATGAGCACATCTTTCACACGAAGTGCTTTATTAAAGGCAAAGTTTGTAGTATGATAATTGATAGTAGTAGTTGTATTAATATAGCTAGCACTTTGTTAGTTGGTAAATTTAAATTATCTTTACCTGTTACTAGTCATCCTAGGCCATATAACTATATTTGCGTAATTGTGCTAAAATTAGGGTTAGCAAACAATCTTGATTTCTTTTAAATTGGAAATTATTCTTTTGATGTATTGTTTACAACAAAAATTTTGTTTATTTACAAGAGTTCATTTGGGTTTATGGAGAAAATTTACAAGTTAAAAAAAAACAAAAGGTTCATAAATTAACATGAAAATTCAATTATTTACAACAATAAGTCTATTTATTTCACAAGTCAATGTGATATTACACTTAAGGCATTCCCACTCATTAAGGGTAAATTGATCATTTCAATAAGGAAAATAATTGCATATGAGGCCTTTGGACCTACAAAAAAATATTAAAATTCATTAGGCTTGTGGAGTAATTATATTTCTTGGGTTGGCCTTATATGTTATTCTCACAAATATTTACTTCCTCCAATCCTATATATTAGTCATCTTTTAAAAGAAATTTATGATTTTTCTTGTGTTACTTTGTGTAAAAAGGTGGATAATTAATTATTTTCTTTGAATTTTATCCTTTCACAATTTTTTTATGAATAGAAAGTGAAAATTAATAAGTTATAGATAAAGCATTTTTCAAGATAATACATTTAATAAGAATAAATAAAAAAAATTTCTTCTTTTTAGATAATATTAATAATTTAACTATTAGAATTAAAAAATGAGCCAGCTTAATGCTTATAGACTAAGCTCTTATGGACTTAGTCCATTAAGGCTTGAGCTTGAAAGGCTTGCTCCCTTTAAAGTTGAAAAAAAAAAAAAAAGCAATTGAGAAGGGGGGAAAGATAGGTGGTGACAGATAGAATCAACTTAAAAAATAAAAATTAGATGAGAGAAAGAGTTCTTGAAATTTAAAAGTGATGAAGTGTTTTTGTTTTAGAAAAAAATTAATTTTTTAGCCCTTCAATTTTTAATTCACTAATAACTTAATCTTTTAATTATGATTCACTGTAACTTAATCCCTCAACTTTTAATTCACCTATAACCTAATTTCTCAACTTTTGACTTGTCTACAATTCAATTTTTCAACTTTCGTTAATTTTATTTTTTATGTTAGCTTGAATTTCACATCAAAGAGCAAAATAAGAGTTTTAAAACAAAATATGAACATTTTTTTATTTTTCTTATTTGATAAGGATAATTTAAAAAAATTAAAAAATAAGAACCGAATTATTAATAAATTAAAAGTTAAAAGATTAAATTACAGCGAGTCACAGTTGACAGGCTAAATTATAACAAGTTATAATTAAAAAACTCAGTAATAAGTGAGTTAAAAGTTGAAAAGTTAAAAATTAATTTTTTCTTTTTCCTTGATCAAAAGAAAGAGATGCTTGCACGAAGCCCTATGCATATGCTATAATCACTGTAAAAGCCAATACTACTCTTGTGAACAAGGATTTGCAGGAGCCGTCAAGAAATCGTGAAAAGCATTGATTTAAATTTTATTATATGATATATTGACTACTGTTAGTTTCCATCTTGGGTACCTTGACAGAATATGGACAATTTTTAAATGTACTTACCTAAATAATTAAAAAATACTAACAACTTTGAGATTTGAAGATGATTATTATATCATTGCAAGCTTAATCTTTTGAATTTACAATAATCAGTGAAACAGTTAACAAGTGAAGCCTTACCAGGATCGCTATATTTAAACATGATAAACTCAATCTTTTTTAAGTTAATTGACGACTTCGTTCACTCAGTAGCAACCCCCTAATGGAATTAAAAAAAACAGGGCCGACATAATCGGTTTCCGTCTCTTCTAAGTTCTAACCACTTTCTTTCCATTCTCATGATCATTAATACCTTAACAGTTTCAGACGCCCAACACGCGCGCGCGCGCACAACACGCCCCCAAGACATCAAAGCCGAAATATTAATTAAAATGGAAAAGATTAAAAAAAATCCAGAAGATCAGTAGGCTTACATGCTTGATAACACAATTTAAGAAAATTCACAAAATTATATCATCAATCTGAAGAAAATGGTGTTATTACTAATTGTCAGCAACAATGAGTTCAAGCTAGATGCCACAACCCCTTTTCCTTCTTGGATTGGATAAATTCTCCTTAAAGACAAATAGATTTTCAACCACAGGAGTGTACAACTCATATCACACCCAGAAGCCAGAGCATATACATACACTCTTCAATGGACACCTCAGAACATGCATCATAGTTTCAGACTACTATCAGCTTCCTCACCTTTTTGGATGATGCCGTTCTCATGCAGATACTCAACAAAATCGTCAATAAGATATGGCCAAGCACCTTCAGCATCATAATTAGATAAATTTTCGTCGACAGTCTGCAAAGTAGAGCATTAATAATGTATGGTCTCATGACTACTACACAAAATCAAAACCCAAAAAGCATAAAACTTCAGATAAAGTCCTTTAGGTTTTGCCATCACATGCACGGATAAAAAACGTATACAAAAACTTTATTTAAAAAAAATAATTTATGAAGTCTTGAGTTCTGAAGGAAATATCCAAATGTGATGTTTTTAATAAACTAAATAAAATAAGTGTAAGATGCTAAAATCAAGTTTTGTCCCAAAACAGAATGTCAAAAGAATGACCGGCAAGACTACTTCAGCTTGATTTGTGATGGCCCAATCAAGGTTGAAAATACCTGGGTTTCCAACGAAAACAATAGACACCAAACTCAACTGACGGACTTTTCTGGGTTGGAGACCTGTCTGGTGATTTTTTCTTTTTTTATTGTCCCTGCCCCCTTCTCATTTCCAAGGGTTGGAGGCCTATCATTAACACCCCCCCTTTTTTCCCCAGGTCATAAACAAGCAGGAACTTAAGGTTTGGTTCCCTTTTCAAGTGGAAGTGGAAGGGGACAACATGCTTAGTTCACAGCATTAATGAAAACATGTTTTGCCAAGACCAGCAATGTCCTGGCACAGTTTAGGCATTAAAAAGGAAAGTAATCATGCATAAATTTTCTAATTATTTTCCTTGCCAAGCCTAGGTGGGATTGGCTTGGTGCTGCTGTTGTTTCCTTGCCAACCCAAAGAACAAAGAATGTGTAAATATCGTCTATAATCGTAGCGTTGCTAAAGGGGCTGCCATGGGTGTGGCACTCATTGATGGGTAGAGTCGGGAATAAGGGCCGGGCCTGGAGGGCCGGGCCTGAAAGCCCTGTTTAAATAAAGGTTCGGGCTTTGAAAATAAATTTTTTTAAAGTAATCGGGCTTGAGGACTTGGCCCTGATAAGCCCTGTAAAATAGGGCTCGGGCCCGGGCTGCCCTTCAAGCCCTGTTATATTATTTTTATTATTATTTTTTTTTAGTAAAATATGTGTTTAAAATCAATGACCTGCTCACCTGATCCTACACACATTATATTATTATTAATTTTAATTTATTCTAAAATTAATTTAATCTAATTTAATAAATATCAGTGTATAGTATAAAATTTATGATATTTTTTATTTTTCTATAATTATTATGTTTGTATATTTATAAAAAAAATGAACTATTTTTTAAATGAAGATTTAAATTTTATTACTAGACTTCTAATGTATGTTATTTAATTTTTAAAAAATTATGATGATTTTAATTTTTTTAATTTTAAAATATTTTAATTTATTTATAATATTTAATTTTATTTTGATTTTTTTATTTTTTTAAGAAAGGGCTTACGGGCCTGGCCCTGAGCCCTGAGTATGAGGGCCGGGCTTGAGAAATGGGGGTCAAAATGGGAAACCGGGCTTTAGGGCTCAGGCCCTAAAGGGCCGAGCCCATAAGGGCCAGGCCCTTTAGGGCCGGGCCCGCCCGTATTCCCAGCTCTATTGATGGGCAGCTGTCACAGAAAGTGGCAGATTTTTACATTAACAGCCAATGGGCTGGTATTCTGCGGGGTATATCAGCCATTCAGCTCTATCTGACTAAATATAACACAAGGAAAATCTAAGAAAAGGGTTAAAACCCTTATTCCTCAGGTTCCCCCATGCCAATAATAGCCACCATTAGCAAGTTGGTCAGACATAGGCATCAAAGAGAACAACAAATAAGAATACGAGATTTCTTTTTCTTTACTTCCAACAAAGCAACACCAGCTGAGTTGTCTTCTAATGCCTTAAAAGCTTACCCTAGCAAATTCCAACAGCTGAGACCATGTGTCCCTAGAGATTGCTTTGTTATGACGAGCCTGAGCAAGTTGCACAAAAAAGTTTCAACAGAGACCAAATTAACAACCCTTAAGAGATGCAAAATTAAAAAGGTGTATCAGTATGATAATTAGCAAATTACCTGTAAGAACTGGCACCAGTGATCAACCAATGGCCACTGCTTTTCCGCAAACAATAGTTGCCACATTCCAATAGCTGTATCCAAAGCCAGAGATTTCTGACCCTGAAATAAGCAAATCAAATTTGTATAGCATTTATCTTTAAATACATACACAACCACACTATAACTGCATACATGCCCAAAACTTACTCAATGTTATAGGCTGCCATCTAAGTTACAGAAAGCCGTTCATGTTTTATGCCCAAGCTAGTGGTTTAAGACTGAAGTTGATATGGCATTTGCCAGGATATAATATACCCGGACTAATTAGTATTGAACCATTCACAGGAAATATACTACAAGCATCCAATTTACTATTACTGCCTGATCCTTGGAACCTTTACTCATAATAGGAGCAGTGAATGTTTTTTCTTTTCACCTTATGTCTCCCCCAAATTTTTTAAAATAAAGACTTACATCATTATGCTAACAATATCACCACTTTGAGATTATTTTTTCATTTCTTTAATGGATCCTGATAACAATGTAGTCAATAAGACACTGAATCATAGCAAGTGATTTTCAGGGACCTAAGACTTGAAAGATTATGACACCAAAAAAAAGAAAAAAAGTTCAAACTAAAGTGAAATCACAAGTCATTAACCATCCTGTATGTTAGAATAATTCAATTGAGTTTTGAACACTAGAGAAGGACATGAAGCAACTCTAGAGAATCCAGAAGATGCCACATACCCACAAGAAGAATTCGGTAGATCATCATCACTAGAAAAGAAGGTTCTGCATATGGATAGGATGATAATAACTAATTATAATTCCCAGTGATTGAAAAAAAAGGAAGAGCTCAAAATACTATATGGAGTTATGGACAGAAAAATCCAGTGAAAAAAAAAAAGGAGAAATCAGCAGAAAAAAACTGAGTTGGCTAGCATAGAAACAGAGCGCAGATTAATGAACCTCAGAACTCAGAAGAACAAGATAGCGAACATCCAACAGATACTGCGTCCAACACAAACTGAAGTTAAGGTAACAATGGGAGCATAACATACCTTCTCTTTCGCCCAGCCAAAAGAGAAGTTATATATCTCACGGAACTTCTCTGGACAATCCAAAAACGTGAATATATTTCAGGGAACTTCTTCAATGCTCATTGAAGATAATTTCTAAAAGACAGATGAGATATAACAAGTATATAGTTTGGATTTTGAATCTGGGAACTGTGTATTTGTACTATCATACATACGTTCATCCTTCAGCTCAGATCGCATATATGGTATCCTTTCACGAAACTTCTCCAAGGAATCTATCCTGAAATATTTGTACATATATCAACTGAGTATCAGACACTGACGAGTCAGAAACGAAGTTATTTTGACAAAAACATGTAAAAATTTACCCGAGAGATTGTAAACCACCAATAAACTCCTGCTTGGAAAATTCACACATGGTGCCAGCCTTCATGTGCCATGAAAGAACTAACTGCAAGGATGTAAATATCCCAAGTTACCAAAAGCACTCCCGCATCATCATAAACTTTAAACAGAGAGATACATTCCATAAGAAAATCTAAATTCATCACGCATCAGCATTTATGAGTGAGAACATTATCATTCCTGTTTACATGTTTCCTCTAGAAAACAATGATGTTACCTTTGCTACTTTCAATATCTTTTAGACATGACAACTTTCATGAAGCATGAAATAGCAGATTGTGAACATAAAATTTATCACTGTATATATAATTCTTCAATACATTATTGAATTGTCAGTTATCATGTATTGTCACTTCTGTGGACCACTATTTAAACAAAATTGGTTTTCCATAGTCATACTTCATACACTTAATTAAAGGAGAAAATAAATAAACCTAACTAATTATGCATAATCTAGATGAATAAATACTTTTACAAAGCACAGTCATACCATCACTATATCTTGAGGATCCACCTGCACGAAAAAAATAAAAAATATATCATAGTACGAATTAAAATGATTTTACAAACCTTTAAAATGAATCAAAAGCATTGAAAGAAGAAAATGTCAAAACACCCAGATGGTGTGCCCTGTACATGATACATAAAATTAATCAAGTTCCTCAGAACTGAAATGCTCCAACAGACATCAAGGAGGAAAAAAAATTGCATTTTCAAATAGCAACCTGGAGGTCATTGCAAAGAAGAGTGATTCCATCGGCCAATATCATGTCAACATATGGATCTGCATGGAAATTAGTGCAAAACATTTAATACAAGCACTGTTTGCCATCTTTGCATAAGCAAAAGTCACACATCAAAAATGGAAAACTAAAAGGTAAATAACTAGAAACAAGTCTTAAACCCACAAAATCATCCACATCCTATATTCTCATTCAAATAATGGGCTGGTTTCATTCAGTAAAATTTGTCAACTTAGAACAACCAATGCATGTTGAGATTCAGAATATCAAGATTTGAAGTTCACAAAAACTGTTGAGCCCAGAAGGCAGAAAGCAATTCTTGCATCAAAAGAAGACTAAATAAAATTTTATCTGATGTTTTCTCAAAACTAAATACAACCAATGTATTAATCAATAATTCCTGTTGCTTTATCATATGAGTAGAATTTTTTAGTTGAGAAATATGTCTGGTTCAAGTAGACAAGAGAGAAGAAATTGGGGATGGGAATGTTTAGCTCCATTGCTCTCTTAAAACAACCAAAAAAAAAATTGAGGTTATAACTTATAGATAAATACTTGAAAATGGGGGAAAAGGAGCAATCTAGTATAGCATGTGAGTAAGCATCATGAAGATCCAGTACGCTAAAATAGTCAGAATAAACATATCATCAATCTATATAATAAAATCTATAGCAAGTCATGCTATTCGCAATCCATAAAGTGCAGCTCCTTTCTTAAACTCCATGCAATACATGGGAAAATGTGTCTAGTCAAAATAGAAAACAGCAAAGATGGTACAAGACAAGTACAGATAAAAGAAGCGAATGCACCATATGATCCAAGTTCTTTATAGCCACTAAATTTAAAAACAAAGACATAATTAAGCAAGGCATTTATGCTCAATTTGCTGCTGAAATTAAAGTAATTCACTGACAACTTTGCTTCATTGCTAACCTTTATATCTATTGTAAAGCTTCTCCAAGTGTCTGGAATCAGCAACTGTTTTAAGCTGGGGCTGGCTGTAAAACACATCAAAAGCTCCTTCAAGATGCCATTCACTAGCTTTCAAAGCCTGAAGAGCCACTTTCTCACTACAAATACAACATTAGATTTCTTTCAGTGATGAAAGAGAAAAAGAAGTGTGATAAAGGCAATTCTTATGAACATATACATTATTCCCACTGTTTTATATGAAAATTCTAGAGCGTATCCTAAGTATATCGCTGTCGTCGTCATTATTCAAATTATGCAATTCCCTGACTTGCATCAGATGGAGCAATCAAACCAATAAATTTGTAATTTTAAAGTCTAAAGAACAGAAAATATACATCCCCAACATATTGTCTGCAATCACCAAACCCCCAACCCGCACACACATGAACAATATGCAATAAATCACGAGGCTTGAAGGAATAAAGGTAAATGATAGATTTGAAGCAAACCACATGCAGTCAAAAGTCATAGGTGATATATTACCTAGCTCCAGTTATGGTCATGAACTGCTGGAGTTTATCACGGTGGCCTCTTCCCAATTTGTGCTATCAAAAGTAGAACAAGTAATCAGTAGTCATAAATTTTCATTTATGTCAGTTATCTATGTAATTTTGATAAAGGAACATAAGTAATGTAGTTGTTTGACAAAACAAAACCGCAAGCAAACTGATAAAAATGGAAGAAAACCATAATCGAAAAGTGTTTATTAGCACATATAAACATCGCAACCCTCTAACAAAGGAGAAAAGGTAAAACAAATTCAGTGGGTTGAATTTTGATCAATCCAATAATCTCCCTAGCCTTGAAAATTGATAAACTAGGAGAAAATTTTATTTCAGCAGTCGGTAAAAGATGCTACTTCATATAGAAAGTTGACAAGAGCGAACTGGATTTCCTTCGTGTAATTGCCAGGCACGAAGAGGACGCGAACCAATAACATATGCAGCACACTGAAATTTAATGATTTTATGATTTCCTTTATCTTGGAACTCACACAACAAATTCAGAGAAAACACTTCACTTCAATTGTCATTAAAGGAAGCTACTTGACCACAAAGAGGGGAAAAAATTGAAAGGAGGAAGATTAAATAAATAAAAATTCGATTGCCAACAAGATAAATTCCCGAACCTCTGAACTTACCCAGAAAATTCAGAAAGAAAAGTTTACCTGTTCTATCAGTAAAATATATTAATTAAAAAACAGGTCTCAAATGATAAACACATGATCAAAACGAACGGGAGTCCCGTCATATGACTAACGGGAATAAAACCGCTACAAAATTGGGAATTTTTGACGCTTTATCATCAATTACAAAAAAAAAATACCATTGTTGAGCTCGAGACAAAAACCCTAAAACCTCAGGGAAGCCGAAGATCTTCTCCAGCAAAACCGTGGCGGGGAGAGTAAATCAGGGATTATTGAAACGATGGTTTCCGCAAGCGGATTCAGCTCAAAGAGAGAATTGATGCCTGAAGATGGTGTGTTGTCTTCGATTCCTCTGGCCTGCTTTCGTAGTCCCTTCGTTTTGGCTCTGTAGACTGGAACCTGAAGACAAGAGAGTGACGTGTTGGCAACTTGGCATTTCTCTTTTAAAACAAAATTATATGCTTTGTCTTATTAATGTAATATTATTTTTTTTTTTTCACAATTTTCATTTTCATTAACTGTCTTCCCATTCTTACTTAATTTAACTAGACAGTAAGTATAGTTTTGTTTTAAATGTGTCAAGATTTGAGGATAAAAAAAATTATAATTAAATAATAGTTTGGAAATTTATAAAAAAACTATAAAATAATTTAAAAAGATAAATGTTTTGAAATAAAGGTAAAAAGATTATACAATGCAGACCATTCAGGGAAGATAAAATAAAAAAATAATTTTTTTCATGTGTTAATAAAGATTATAATATGAATTTTATTGTATATAATGATTTGTTTGATGAAAAAGATTTATATATTTAAGGTACTTATTTTTAATTAAATTAAAATATTTGCATTTTTATATACATTTTTATTATATAACAAACTCTTGTTATTAGTATATTAACATATTAAAGTCCATTTATCTTGATTTGATTAAATAAAAGTATATTAAATATATAAGATTAAGTACCTAAATTTTTTTCCTTGTTTCATTACTTTTTCTTTATCTTTCTTTTTTGGATAAACCTTGTCTCATAATTAATATCTTTTTAAAACTAGTTTTAGATTAAGTTAAAATCTTAATCACTAAATTTGTTCCAACAAAAAAATACCTTTGTCATTATAACCAAGCAAAACAATAACAGATGATATGAAAATCATTAAGACTAGGAAGTTTTTATAGTCTTATGACACTTAGCTCACTTTTAATGATGCAGATTACAAGTTGGATCTCATCTAGCAAATATTTTGCTTGCCCACTTAAAAAAAAAAAGTAAAAAATTACAAGGAGCATATTTGTTATCCAATTTTCACACTTTTCATAGCCATATATAAAAAAGTAATAATTTTTCTCAACCATTCCTTCAAGGTGAATGATGACAATTAGGTCTCAATACATCAATTTAATAATAATTATATTTCTGACCATTATTTAAGGACAATTAATATTTTAATCCTTATAGCTTCACTTTTCAATTAGGTCCTTCAAGTTTATTTTTGTTATTTGGCTCCTTATGAAACTCCACCCAAGAGAGAGATGAATTAAGCTCAATAAAAATTTGACTAATCAAGCAAAGTGAAAGTATAAGCTAGAAGAGATATCACCAAACATGGCTGAGAGGAGGGAAGAGAAGTTTGCACTGATCAATTATCCTTATTCAATTTAAAACACTTGAACTTACGTCTAGTTTTTAAATTGCACTTGAGATTTTCTCCTTTTACTTTACCAAGATTAAGTTAGGCTCTTGATTACCTCAATATAATCCCAAACTTATATTTAAGTTTGAATCACTCACCTTACAACAATATTGAGTAATCTCCTTTTGAGCTCTTCGAGCTTAAGATCCTCTGTTTCACGTGTAAAAAAAATAAGAATAGATAAAGTAAATTCAAGAATAAACTATTACTGTCAAATACTCTTTCTAATAATTGATTTACACTCAATAAAACTTACTTGAAATGAATATTACAATAAAAAGTAAGTGAAACAATAAATGAATTTGTTCACATATTAACTCAGTTTTTTCATACTCTTCACTATCTTCATAAATGCATCTATTTATAGTGTTTTTCATAAATGATTCGTTAGACATGTAAATATATCCGTTAAAGTCATCATCTTCTCTCCTCTAAGTTTCTCCAAAAATTGGGCAATGGCATAATGCTTTATGGTGAAGTTTCTTTCTTACGATAGCTAAGAAAATTAGCGGCTCTTTGCAATAAATGTTCTGACACAAAGTAAGTGAAAGCTTACTCCCTTCGTCTCTATATATAAGGTATTTCCTAAAAACTTATTTTGTCTCTAAATATAAGGGGTGAAAATGATTTTTGAGTAATTAGACAATTTTATTCCTGCCTTGGAAAATGAAATAGATTATTAATTGGATGTTTTCCTTACTTCCAACATGATATTAATTATGAAATTATTACAAGTAAAACTAAAAAATTATTTTGTTTTTATATGAGTTCAACTAAATAAAAAACTTTTATTGGTATGCGAGATTCAATTAAAAGCACCTTATATAGGGATAGAAGGAATACATTGGAAGAACGATACTATTTCAAAAGCATGATGCTATTCAAGAATAAGGATATCAAAAGAATTAATAAACATATAATCCAACCCAAAGTTGTGTTTAAAAGGTTTCTAGAAAGTTTATAAAGCTAGCACAACTCATAGAATATAAAAGAAATGAGTATGGAATGAAATTCATGAATGGACATAGTGTTCACTATTTTGGAATAGCTCACATATATAGAATAAATCTTCATAAAAAATAGTGATTTTGGAACACTATTTGGAATAAAGATTACCCAAATAAGATGTTTATTTTGGAATAGGGTGATTCTTCATGAATAAAGAAAGATGTTCCAAAAAAATGCAAATAGGTCATAACTTAGTAAGCATAACCACTACACAGTAGAAAGGAGTTATACCAAAATAAGAAATTCTAAATGTGAGAGAATATGGTTACTTCATAATAAAGAAAAAGTATGGGAACAAGCTATTTCGGAAAAACTATCTTATTCCAATATAAGGACCACCGGAATCAAAACTCACAGAAACTTTCAAAAAAAGGAATTTACAAACTAAGTCCAACTAAAATATTTCTTCAAACATTAAATTTGGTCCATATAAGAATAAGATTAAGTCAAATGTTCAACCTTAAAATGAAATTCAATTCAATTTTAGTTTAAAATCATATTTGAATATATTGGCTATTTAAAAATAGAGGCTTTATTCAAACATTATCAAACATTAGATCTTGGCTATCTAAAATATTTCTTCAAACATTAAATTTGGTCTATACAAAAATAAGATTAAGTCAAATGCTCAACCTTAAAATGAAATTCAATTCAATTTTAGTTTAAAATCATATTTGAATATCTTGGCTATTTAAAAATAGAGGCTTTATTCAAGAATAACGACCTTAAGTTAGATTTATGGCAATTTTTACCATTTGTCCTCCAAAAAGCTATTAACCTTAATTATAATTCCATCAAATATACATACTTCAACACCCTATAGTTACAGTCATTTGTAGAGTTCATTCTCTAACTTTCAAACTATTGAAAGATAAATCCATTGGCTTCAACAAGGCATAATGATATTAGATTTTTACTTATTTCTTCTCACAGATGGTGGCAAAACTACAACACATTGACTAGCATTGCCAATTGCTTGACTTATTGTTTTGGCAAAAAAAAGAGCTAGTTGAAAAAACACACAATTAGATAAATCGTTGCTAATACTATACCCATAAAGCAAATTAAATTTATTTATTCTATTTCTTATTTTCTACACTCCCCCTCAAATTGGTGCCATAAAGGTCCATGGTACCCAACTTGCCTAGAAGATATTCATATGCCTTTCTACCCAGTGCCTTGGTGAGAGCATTAGCTTCTTATTGCCTTAAACGAACATGATGCAAGTGAATGATCTTTTCCTGTAGTTTTTTTTTTTTTGACAAAATGATAGTCTACTTCTATATGTTTTGTCCTCTCATGGAGTTGTTAGCAATATGTATGGCTGCTTGACTATCACAGCAAACACTTACTATTTGAACATAAGGAATGTTTAAATCCTTAAGTAAACCTACAATCCAAATGACTTCTGAGACAGCAAAACTCAAAGCTTTATATTCAACTTCCGTAGAGGACTTAGACACCATGTGCTACTTCTTTGTTTTCCTAGAAACATACCATTGCCTAATTTAACTAAGTAACCAGTAACAAATCTTTGGGACGTATTGTATAAGGCCTTAAAAATAACTTAGATCTAGGTTTTTATTTGAGTTAAGCAATACCCCAAGTCTCGAGTTCTATTTTAAGTATTGAAGTATGTTCTTAGCGGCTACCAACTTGCATAAGAAAGGAGATGTCAGGACGGGTCATAGTTAAATAAATTAACCTTCCAACCAACCTCCTATATTCTTCAAGATCCCTTAATAACTCTTCCTTCTTATGTTTACCTTCTTCATATGCTAAGAGCTTCAGGTTTTGTGCTATAGGGATGTTGAGAGGCTTATCTGACAATAGGTCTAGGACATACTTACGCTGACTCATCACTGTACCTTTACTAGACTGGGCAATCTCAATCCCTAAAAAATATTTTAAGGGTCCCAAATCTTTGATTTTAAATTTAGAATTGAGAAATGCTTTAATTTCAACAATAACAACATGCAAACTACCAGTTATAAGTAGATCATCCACATAAATACTAAAACAATGCTATCGTCAGTATGTTTAATAAATAGTGAATAATCATACCTACTCTATTTAAAGCTTGCAGCAATGCCTCTAACAGCTTATAATTCTACTTCCTTGAGGCTTGTTTTAGCCCATATAATAATTTTTTTTAATTTACATGATGTATTCTTCCCCTTGGCATAAAGGCCTTAAGGTACCCTCATGTATAGCTCTTCATTTAAATCTCCCTGCAATAATACATTATATACATCTATCTAGTGTGAACCCCAATTATTCTACGTAGCAAGATTAAGGACAATTCTAACTGTGACCATCTTAACTATAGGAGAAAGGGTCTCATTATAATATGTGCCTTGTTTTTAGTTATAATCCTTTGCCACTAGCCTAGCTTTGTATTTATCGACACTACCATCAAACTTATATTTAATTTTAAAGACCTATTTGCACCCTATGGCTCATTTATGTTTAGGTAATGGCACTATATTCCAAGTATTGTTATTTTCTAAAGCCTATAACTCATCATTTATCGCCTTTACCCATCTTTCATCTTTCATAGTAACCTCATAACTTGTTGGTTCATGAACAAAATCAATTGAAAACAAAAAACAGTGGTAAGAATGGGATATATTGGCATAAGAAGCATGCTTTTGAATAGGATATTTAATGCTAGAATTAATGCATAAAGAAGCAAAAAAACATAATATTTGCCCATA